CATCATATCTGTGGCATCTAACTTGATACAGTTCTAATTGAATGAAGATGTTAACTAATCCACTGCTTTTTTTTTTTTTTAAATCCACTGCTTTTTAACCCATGTGACAGGAGAGGCCGAAAGAGAGCGCTCCGCATGCAGGATGTTACTTTCCGAGGAGATGATGCCCTGGGCCACTACCACATGTGCCTGGTTGTCCGCTCATCCTGCCCGTTTCCAAAGGATTGTCACTTGACTGATCCAGCCAGGGTCTTTGGCCAGTAACTTCCTTTTACTGGGCCTTTCCAGGCAGTGTTTATAATCAGGCTTCCTAGGTAGTCTTTTTGCTTTTTGGGCAAAGTCCCAAATGCCTAATAATTAGTATTTTGTCTACCTAGCCATTATGCTTCTCATGGCAAATGGACACTCAGGCTCCTGTAAATTGTATCACTTTGAAGCCAGTTTTGATGAAATCAGATAGGATGTTAGAAGAGCCCTGTTGAGGACTGGACCCAGAGTTCTGGGGGTGCCTGTTGTAGCTGCCCTTTGAAGTCTTGTTTTTTTTGAAGTTTTGCTCAAGACACATTTCTGTGAAGTCTTTATTTCACATTTAATCCAAGAGAATCTCTGTTCTCTAGAACTTAACTATAACTTTTTAGAGATACACATGTATAAAACATTTGAGTGATGATGCAAGGCAGGAGTTTGATTGCGTGTTAAAGAAAATAGTACATTAAAAGGCTGAGTGAAAAATTTCTAAAAGATGAAAAAGGTGAAATGAGTGGTACTGAATGTAAATGGTTTTAATTGGAGTGGTGGATGGTACTTAGTGGTTTTGAGCTGAGCCCTGGGGAAGAGGTGGGATTGGGATGGATGGGTGAGGAGGAGAAGGCCAAGGAGCTCTGGGAGCTGAGGCTGGAAAGAAGAGGTGTTTTATGTTAGAGGCCAGGTGGGCTGGTTAGGGGGTCGTGGTAGGAGAGATGTTTGGGTAGAGCCAGGGGAGGGGCCAGGTGGTGGAAAACCTGGGTTTCTAGCTGGAGCCTTTTGCAATGTGAAACAGAGGGAGAGATTGGCAGAGGAAATAGCCTGGAGAGGTCGCCTCATAGGCTGGATTAATTTGCTGTAATAATTCTATAAAGAAGGCTGAGCATTGAAGAATTGATGCTTTCTAACTGTGGTGCTGATGAAGACTTGAGAACCCCTTGGACTGCAAGGAGGTCAAACCAGTCAATCCTAAAAGAAATCAACCCTGAATATCAATGGGAAGGACTGATGCTGAAGCTCCAATACTTCAGCCACCTGATGCAAAGAGCTGACTCATTGGAAACGACCCTGATGCTGGGAAAGATTGAGGTTAGGAGGAGAAGAGGGTGACAGGATGAGATGCTTGGATAGTATCATCGGCTCAATGGACACAAGTTTGAGCAAACTTTGAGAGATAGTGAAGGACAGGGAAGCCTGGCGTGCTCTTGTCTATGGGATTGCAAAGAGTTGGACACAACTTAGTGACAAAACAAGAACAAAGAAAACCGTGGGCACGGAGAAAGGAAGTGAAGTGAAAGTCGCTCAGTTGTGTCTGACTCTCTGCAACCCCATGAGCTGACTATAAGCTCATGGAATTCTCTAGGCCAGAATACTTGAGTGGGTAGCCTTTCCCTTCTCTAGGGGATCTTCCCAACGCCTCAAGCAATCTAGGTGTAGGTGGCTAAAGATCTGGTGGGGCAGTAGGGGGACTTGGAAGGGTCACACATTATGAAATGATGGGCCTTTGCAATTGAGCAGAAAGGTAAGAAGGGATTGTTGTTGATATTGCTTGGTTGCTTAGTCATGATTCATTGTGACCCCATGGACTTCAGCCCGCCATGCTCCTCTGTCCATGGGATTTCCGAAGCCAGAATGCTGGAGTGGGTTCCCATTTCCTTCTCCAGTGGATCTTCCCGACCCAGGGATCGAACCCACGCCTCGTGCTGTGGCAGGTAGGTTCTTCAGCGCTGAGCCACCTGGGAAGCCCAGGAAGAGATACATGTTAGTAAATAAGTGAGCAGACAGTAAGAGTCTCAGTGTGAAGGCACAGATGACGTGTTCAGTGTTACAGTGCTTTCCCCAAAACGTGCTGCCGCTTTTTGTGCTCCTCTTTGTTCTTCAGGATGCGGCTCAGAAGCTTACCAACGCCATCGGCACGCGTTTCTCTAGTCTTGTATTGACCACTGTCAAGCACTCACCATGTTGGATTCCTGCTGACTAGTCTGTCTCCTCAGCTGGACCAGGGCTCCCTGAGATCAGACGCAGTCATTGTGCTCCAGCACCTCCTCATACATCAGACATTCAGATGTTTGTGGGATGCGTTATATGCTGTTATGTTCTTGCTGCTTTCTCCGGAGCGTTGCAAGTAGCCCTTTTAATTGATTATTACTTATCTTACTACCATCTAGATAATAATCAGCGAGTGCCCCGAATGATGCTGAGGGCCCTCTGCTTGCTCTCATTGGTTTTCATTGGACAGATGTTTGCAGCTTACAACCGCTGTATTGTGTGTCTTAAAGACAGTAACATGTGCATACTTTGATTTCTTGAGTTAGTAAGTAACCCCAGGTGAGGTAAATCAGCCTGATGTCAAGGTTTAAGTACCTCAGAGCCCCAGAGGAGGTGATGCTGGCGTGCGCTCACCCCATCACTGTGCAGGTTCCCTGGAGAAGTGCGGCACGCACAGCATTCTTCACTTCCTCTACTCAGGCTCTTTCAGGTCTGGTGAGAATGGAGTTCATTAGAAGGAGAATACTATTTTTACTTTTCTTTTACTTGTGTAATTTTGCTTGCAAGTATTTCCGTGTGTTAGGAGCATCATCCATTTTGGCCAGTGCTTGCATTTTGCATATAGTGACTTGAAAGCGTGTGCTTTCTCTGAGAACTGTGTATGAACACTAGGAGGAGAGCATTTTGGTTTAGAAAGATTCCAAACTCTTCTGTTTAGGTAAGTGCTAGTTGTCTGAATCAGTGAACATGCAGCCAACATTTGTTGCCTCATTTCTAGCCAGGGAGGGTTTATGGGCTTTCTCAGCCTCTTTCTCCTCCTCACCGTTCTTAACACCTGTTCATGATGGGGGGGACTGCATTCTTCTTGCCCTGATGCTTCACACTGTGATTCTTAAGGAATTCCTCTTTAGGAAACACTTTCTTTTTCTTTTTTTCTTGTTCTCAAGCTCTCTTGCAGTGTAGGATGTAGGGAGCTGAAGCTGTTCCTGGTAACGAGTGGGTCTTTGCCTTTCTCTTTTCTCCTGGTGCTTCCTGACGGTTTGGTGGGGCGGTGCAGGGATGCCTTCTAGAAAGTGGGAGGACAGCTCAACTGTCAGCACCTAGCATTTTGGCAGAGGGTGACAGGGCAGGGAAGATAACCACGCGGGCAGTGGGCCACAGGAGTTTGCCGACTGAGGAACTTTGTCTGGGGCGGGCTTTTCCTAGGTTGCTGGGTGTTAGTGTTCCGGGTGAAGAGGGCTTTGCAGAAAAGCCAGGGGTGCGGGTGGGGCCGCAGTGCTTGTAGATTCTGTGACTGTTGACACTACCTGTGACCCGGATCAGGGCTCATGTCCTGGCTTCCTCTTGAAAGTTCTTTTAATCATCTTTTGAAGAATCTTTTGGTAAAAACATAGAAACCTTAACTGGTGAGTGTCTCAGAGAGGAAATTTACAGTATAGACTAGGGACCTGATTATTTGAAAGAATCATATATGTCTGTTTTGAAGGTGCGAGCAGATGCATTGTATGGTATGCTTTCAGCTTTTCTTGACTTCAGTTTTCCAGTTCCACTCAGAGCAGACCTTTGGGTTTTTATTTCTGACTCGTAGAGTGGTTTCTGTCTTGTTCTGTTCTAGCATAGTGATGCTCCACGTTCTTTCCCCACACGGTTCCTGTGTGCCCCACTCTTAGAAACTCATCACATTGTGATGCTGGGATTCCCAGGGAGGGAGAGGTTGGGATATACTTTACTGAGGGGCTGAGTGGGAGGGGATGGCTGACTAACCATACTTGGACTGGGAAAGCCCTCCTCTCTCTTTGGGAATTACCGATCTGGTAGTAATATTTGGGCCCTAAAGATGTTAAGGTGGTGAGTAATTTTTAGTTTGGAAAAGCTTTTTGGTTTTGTTTAGAAAGCTGCCCTGTCTTAATATAACCTCACGGTCATCTGTAGGCGTTCGGTGGTGGCCACTCGGGCTCAGTCCACTGCCCTCTTTCTCTGTTCTATGGTCCTGGAGGCCTGGTACCACCAGCTGCCTGGCAGGAGCTGGCTGGGTGTCTGCTCAGACTGTTGGGTTGGGCAAGGCCTGTAAGGAGTTCGGGAAAAGGTAGTGAAATTGGATTTTTGCCTGCTCACAATGTGACCATGGGCAGGTCAGCGCTTAAACCTTTTGGACTGAGTAAAGGGGAGGAGTCTGGCTGAGAATGAATTGCTGGGGGTTTGGAGATGACTAGGATAGGCATTTGCATTCCCAGTGTCCCATTTGTTTTGTTCCTAGAATTCTAGGTATTCAGTTTTTAGGATTCTTTCAGCAGTATTTGCCCGAGAAGCAGTGCTGCCCAGTGCAGTGTAAATACTCACACATCCCGGCATAGCCCCATCCCTAGCCCCCACCCCGCAACACACGTGTAAAATATGAATCTGTATGTAGTGAGGAAGCACTGTGCTCATTGCCATGGGCTTTTTCCGCAGAGCTTGCTGCCAGTCAGCTAAAGAGGCTCCCGGAGTAGTTGTAGTGATAATGTCAGAGGAGCGAGAGAGAAGCCTGGCACCTTTGGGAGACCTGCTGATGTGTAATTTCTCCACCTCTCCCCCTCCCTTTTGAACCTGTTCTGTTAATAATTGCACCTAATCATGTCTCTCTGGTCTTTTTACTGTTTATAATTCACATGCTACTTAAAGCCGACTGTTTGCTTTTTGTGTGCTGTGAATCCTGGCTGCCATGTGAAGCGCAGCTCGATGGCCGTGTATTATCATCTTGGGTTAAGTGCTGTCTCATTGCTTTGCAGGCTGCCTGCTGCTTCCCGGGGAGATCATGAAACGAGGTCGCCTTCCCAGCAGCAGTGAGGATTCTGACGACAATGGCAGTAAGTCCTGCTTTGTTGTTCTTGGAGCCTACCAGGGTTTGGGTCCATGTAAAAACAGGATTTTTTAATGTAATGCTTTAAAGAGCTGAGGCGCTTCATGTATCAGTGAGGTCAGAGAAGAGCCAAGGCCTGAGTATCACATCTGAGTGGGATGCTGCAGGCCTTCATCTTCCTGGGTGAGGTTGAATGCAGGCGGCATTCCTCAGGCTTCCTGTTTGTTGTCCAAAGGTGAATAATCCAGTTTCCAGAGTCACTAACTAGTATGTCTGTTTTTCCTAAACACCATTTACAGCACTTCACAGTTGTTCTTTATGAAAAGGGAACTTAATCGAAGCCAGTTAATTATTAACTAGTCCAGCCTGATACAAAGGGAGATTGGGCTGCCTGGTGTGATGTGAAAATATCAAGCACAGGTTTTTAGTAGGTCACGAGTCAGCGCTCTTCAGTGGATTTGAACATGACTGTATTTAATAATACTACTGTCTGCGACTCAGCTCTCTGGCATCCTCATATTTTCACAGTGCAGCTGAGAACCAGAAGTTAGTTGGCTTCCAGGCAGTCAAAATAAATGTCACACAGCGTCTGTGTATTGGGAAGCTCACAGACGACCCAGGGAAGAGTGTCTTTCAGATAACAAGGAAATTTTGAACCTAGCAGTGTGCCTGAGCTCTGACCCATTATCTTATGTTTTGTATTACAGATCAGATTTGGTAAATCTTGAAAGAATGCTTGCTCTGCTGAGTGATGGGAAAGGTATTGGGCCTGTTTTCAAGGAACTCTGTCTTTGACACATGACTTTCCATCAGAGCTGGATATTATCAGGACAATTGGAGATAGCTTTCTTATGCACTGTGGAAATGAGTATATGTAGACACACATTTAGAGGAGGGAGGGGCCAGGGAAACCTATAGAGGAGGCGGAAGTTGAGCAGGTCCTGAAGGATGAAGTTGTTTTATGCAAACGGTTGTTTTTCTGTGCTCCAAGCATTGGGCAGATTGAGTTAAGTTCAGTTCAGTCGCTCAGTTGTGTCCGACTTTGTGACCCCTTGGACTGCAGCATGCCAGGCCTCCCTCCCTGTCCATCACCAACTCCCGGAGTTTACCCAAACTTACGTCCATTGAGTCGGTGATGCCATCCAGCCATCTCATCCTCTGTCATCCCCTTCTCCTCCCACCTTCAGTCTTTCCCAGCAGCATCAGGGTCTTTTCTGATGAGTCAGTTCTTCGCATCAGGTGGCCAAAGTATTGGAGTTTCAGCTTCAGCATCAGTCCTTCCAATGAACACCCAGAACTGATCTCCTTTAGGATGGACTGGTTGGATCTCGTTGCAGTCCAAGGGACTCTCAAGAGTCTTCTCCAACACTACAGTTCAAAAGCATCAGTTCTTCGGCACTCAGCTTTCTTTATGGTCCAACTCTCACACACATACCCGACTACTGGAAAAACCATAGCTTTGACTAGATGGACCTTTGTTGGCAAAGTAATGTCTCTGCTTTTTAATATGCTGTCTAAGTTGGTCATAACTTTCCTTCCAAGGAATAAGCATCTTTTAATTTCATGGCTGCAGTCACCATCTGCAGTGATTTTGGAGCCCAGAAAAATAAAAATAAAACTGCCACTGTTTCCCCATCTATTTGCCATGAAGTGATGGGACTGGATGCCATGATCCTAGTTTTCTGAATGTTGAGCTTTAAGCCAACTTTTTCACTCTCCTCTTTCAGGTTCATGAAGAGGCACTTTAGTTCTTCTTCACTTTCTGCAGATTAAAAGCAGCAGAATTAAAAACAGCAAATTGGAGAGCAAGGCTTTGCTGTGGGCAGCCACACTGACAGCCAGCAGAACTATTAGAAACAGAAGAACTCAAATGCAGTTTGGTTGGAGCTTTGTGTGCAGGCATGGAGCAGCTAGGAGGAGAAATGGTGGTGATGGGAAAGCTGTGACCAAATGGGAAGGCCGGGACCCTCGGACAGGCAGTGGGAGCTGACCTTTGCACGAGGGAGGAGTGAACTGGGTGAGGAGAGCAGAGACACAGGAGTGAGCACTCTGGGAGAGGGGCTCGCCTTCTGCCTCAGGGAACTGTGTGAAGGGGCTGTACCCCACCTGCGGAGCCGTTGGGAATGCCTTCTGAGCTTCTTGGTGCTTGTCGGTTCACGACCCTCGCGACTTGTTTTCTTCAATATTTACTTAGGCTTTTTACTCCTTGAGGCAAAATGAGCTTAGGTGTCCCTTTCCTGCGCCTCTGGTGCCTGTCAGAGTGCCCTCTGGAGTTGTATGCACTCCGCAAGTGCTTTCTGCTTGCTGAGTACACAGTGTTGTCCTGCAGCAATTGCAAAACGAAAACATTGCTTTTTAGGTTCAGAATTAATCAGAAGAAGGGTTCATGAATTACTTCCAGTGCTTGATGAAAGGCTCATGGAGAGGCCTCTTCCCCTGCGTTTTTGCTTGAGGAGAAGGTCTGTGCTTGCTCTGGCTCGGGTCTCTTGTCCACCTTGAGAGGGCTGGGTCACAAAAGGTTCTCCTGGGATGTTCTCTCAGACTTAGACCCTTCTGCTTTCTGGAGTAGAACTGCCCAGTAGAAGGGAAATGTTCTAGTGTAAGTAAGGAACTGAGTTTTAAATTTTTATTTAATCTTAATTAAAATTTAAAAAGCTACATGTCTAGTGATTACCATAGTGGACAGTGTAGTTCTGGACCCGGACCCAGTCCAGGCCTTCTCAGCTGTCACTCTCATTCATTATTGCCGGCGTACATAACGAATCCCACAGCCTTTGTGGCTTAAACAACAGACATTTACTTCTCACGAGTCTAGAGGCTGGAAGTCCACGGTCAAGATGTTGGCAGGTTTGCTTTCTCCTGAGGCCTCTCTGCTTGGCTTGCAGACCAACTGCCACCCTCTTACTGAGTCTTCACAGATCTTTCCTCTGAGCATGTGCATCCTTGGATGTTCTGTGTGGTTAAATGTCCTCTTGTGATCCAGTGACATTGGGTTGGGATCCATTATTTTAATCACCATTTTAAAGGCTTTATGGCCAAATAATATAATACAGTCAACATTCTGAGGTACTGGGGGGTTATGTTTCAACATAAGAAATTTGGCAGGGGACACAGTTCAGCCCATAGACGACCAGATGCTTCATCTAAACCTGTTTTTTCACCCAGAGCTCTCTAGGAGGAAGAAAGGTGTCCAAAGTCCCACCAAAAGTGTATCCATCAAGTCACCTTCTTTTTAATGGGCTGTTTTTGTCCTCCGGCTAATATGTTTGTGTCTATGCTGGTCTCCCTGAAGAAAGCAGGGATGGAGGACTAAGGTAGATATTTATAATGTGCTGGAGGGTTAATGTAGGCAGATCACAAAGCTGGTTTTTCTTCTGCCCTAGGCTCCATGTGGAAATTGGGTCGTGGTGGTAGAGGATGAAGACGATAGCTGCTGATAGAAGGGAGGCAGGCTGGCCTCGTCATGGTTGATCCAGTGGAAAGTTGTGTGGTGGTACTTTGTGGCTGGGCTGCCGGTCTCGGCCTGCTGATTTGGTTGTTAGGGTGGTGATGGTTGTGGCAAACAGCTCTCATTTAGAACCCTTGGAACGTTGGGCCATATAGACACATGCACACAGCTACACCATAAACACACTTTCCACCTTCTCTCAGGGCGACTGCTGTCCTGTTTGGGCCTCTGCCACCAGCCTGCCTGTGTGCGTTGGAGACCATCCTCTCGTGTAGCACACGGTGGATACGAGTAGGGTGCCTTCTGCCTATGCACTCTGGTACCCAGAACTGAGCCTGCCCTTACTTGAGTCTGGGTGCTTGGAAGCCTTGCTCATAACAAGGGCTGGGGCAGTGCAGTGGCCCCTCCCTAGCCTTTCCAGCTTGCGTTTCTGACAGAAGTTTGGCAGCAGCTCCCAGCCCAGTGCCTTGCATGTCCAAATGGAGAAGAGACAGCTGCAGACGTCAGCTTGGGGCCCCCACAAAGCCATGGCTGGACCCGGCTGGCCTCCTGGGCTGGAGCCCTTTGCTTTGATTTCTGGCTTGCTCCAGGGGAATAGTGGCATGGTATTTACAGTGGGGATGCACAGGCACTTTCTGCGCCAGTGCAAGCCCGCCTCCAGCTGCAGGCATAGCTGTGGAAGCCTTTCTCCAGGTGCCCTGGACTGCCAGCCTCGCAGTTGGATGAAACCGTGTTGGGGTGTTCACGGGCTGGGCTCCTGGGATGGGGTGGCTCAGATAGTCTTGGAAGTTTAATGCCTTGTGCCAGGGCGCAGCCTTGGGAAACAAGTGCTTAATTTCTTCTGGAGTCCTTGGGCCTCCGTCTTCAGGGCTTTTGGCAAATGCGACAGTGGGGCCACCAGCTATTTTCAGTGTTTCCATCCAGCCTGAGGGGGAGGAGAGGAGCTGGAGACTGAGTTGGTCATCAGTGGCCAGTGATTTTAATCAACATGCCTAGATAATGAAGCCTCCGTAAAAATCTGAAAGCACCGAGCTCGGTGAGCTTTCAGGTGGTGAACCTGCGGTGGCTGGGAAAGACTGGTGTGCTCTGAGAGGGCTTGGACGCCCTGTGCCCTTTCCTGAGGCCTTGTCCCGTGTGTCTCTTTATTGGCTATTGATTCATCCCCTTCAGTATCTTTCTTATAATAAATTGGTTATCTAGTGTGGAACATGTGTCTTTGAGTTCTGTGAGATGCTCTAACGAATGACTCGAGGAGAGGGTCTTGGGAACCCATGCCAGTCAGAAGCATAGCTAACAACCTGGGCTTGGCGGCTGGCCTCTGAAGTGGATGATGGTCTTGTGGGACTGAGTCTGGAATCTAGTTCTGTCTCCATGTCAGAATTGAGTTGAATTTTTGGACATCCCGCTGGCACTCGACAGTCGCTTGTTAGTATGCGGAAGCTTCCGCAAGCGCATATTGGAATTGGGTCTAGGAACCAATTTTGCCTCATGCCCCAAATTACAGGGCTGTGTGACCTCTCTATGGGAAGGCCTGGGGTGTGGCCAGGGGTCATGGGGCC